GCCCCTCGTAAGGTGAGGTTCGGCACTTTCATCTGAGCCTTGAAATGGATCAGCAACCAGATTACCTGTTTAATTACTAGGATGATACGTTTGTATGTTACTAATAGGCTATCCCCATTAGGAATCTAGTAGCTGCAATTGGAAGGAAGTTTCTGAAGTCTTAGACACACAGCATCTTCCACTAGTTGAGGCCTTTCTTTCTTTGCAGCAACCTGACTATGGCTTTCTCGCAGCTTAGGAAACTACAGCATGGACCACCACAATGGCATGCTCAGAATAAAGTACAATCTGAAACCAGATTGAAATTTTTGGGGTGCGGCAGGAAAGGAGCAATTAACCCAGCAGTTTTCAGCTGTGTTCCAGTGGGATGGGCTGCAGGCAAGGCTCATGTCTCCGCTTAACCAACTAAGAGATGCCTATCCAAACTAAGCCTCGGTCTGCACCAGGCCACTGTACAGAAATCTAACGAACTACACCCCTCCACTGCTTCGGTCAAGAAAGAGCAGATACTGTGACAGTGGCACATCCTAGTTGGGACATGAAGAATTGTACTGTACACGTACAGAGAAACCACTGGAGTTGGTTAAAATTATGAAAGGACACATATTATGCCTAACCAGTGCTGGTTCCCATGAAGTACTAGTTCCCATGAAGGAACTAGTGCTTCATGGGATTTGCAAGTGATACTTCTACTAAGAGCATTTGCCCTTTTTGCAGCTACATCACATTGTTGACTGATACTTATTTTGCAATCTATGATTCCAAGATCCAAAGGCAGTGTTAGTACCCCCCATCTTGTAACAATGCATTTGGTTTCTTTTTCCTAGATGTAGAACTTGGCTACTCGATTTCATTCTATTGTTTTCAGCCCAGCATTCCAACCAATCAAGATCACCTTGAACTTTGTCTTCCAAGGTGTTAACTATCCCATCCAGTTTTGTGTCATCAGCAGATCAGATAATCATTCCCTGCACTTTCTCATTCAAACCATTAATAACAATGTTGGAGACCACTGGGCCCAGGACTGAACCCTGAAATACCCCACTTGTTACTTCTCCCCACTTTCAGAAGGAGCCACTGCTGAGCACTCTCTGAGTCCAATTCTGTAGGCAACTATGGATCCACCTAATTATTATTCAATGTAGCCCACTTTTTGCTAGTCTGCTAATCAGGATGTCATGTAGCACTTTGCCAAAAGCATTGCTAAAGTCAAGATAGATTATGTTCACAGCATTCCCACTGTCCATCAGGGAGGTTACCCAATCAAAAAATGAAATCGGATTAGTCTTCTCAAGAACAAGTCTGGCAAGATTTGTTCTTGAGAAAACCATGTTGGCTTCTAGTAATCACTGCATTGTTTCCAAGGTATCTGCAGACTGACTGCTTTATAATCTGCTCCAGAATTTTCCCTGGGATTGATGTCAGATTGAGTGGTCTGTAGTAACCCGGTTCTTCTTTTCCTTTATTAAAGATTTGGACAACATTAACCCTTCTCCAGTCATCTGGCACTTCCTCATAATTTCCTTCATGAATTCTCAAAGGTAAAAGAGTGCTCCTGAGAGATCTTCTGCCATCTCCTTTCTAACTCTAGGATGGAGTTCACTGGAGATTTGAACTCATTCAACCCAATTGAACGACCCTTGGTCATTTGCCTACCAATCTTGTGCTGCCATCCTGCTCCTTCATCTTGTACTTCATTGGAGATGTCATAGATCTTTGGGGAGAAGACTGAGTCAAAGTCAGAATTGAGCACTTCTGCCATTTGTCATCTGTTATCATTGAGTAGTTGAACCGGCATTTCTTTCCTTTTACTTCAGACATAACAGAAGGTGGCTTTTTTGTTGCTTTGAGCATTCCTTGCTAGCCTGATTCATCCCTAACTAAAGTTTTTATATACCATGCCTCACTAAAAAGCCCCAGACAGTAGTGCAATGAAATAAAAGTGCAGCACCAACTTTAACCTTCCTGACACCATCCCTGCAATTCTGTGCTACCTGCTTGTATTCTTCCTTGGTAACCTGGCCTTCCTTTCTCTTCTTATACATGTTCGTTTTGTTTACAGATCACCTTTAAGCTTTTTGTGAAGCCACATGGACTTCTTGTCTTCCACTAATTTTTCTTGTTGGAATTGTTTGTAAGCGTGCCTTTAGAATTGTTTTAAAAAAATTCCCACCCGTCTTGGACACCTTTTCTTATTGGAGTCCCTTGCCATTGGACTTATCATTGTTCTGAGTTGATTACAACTAGCTTTCTTGAAATCCAGGGTACATATTTGCCTACATTTGGCTTTTGTTTCCTTTAGAATCAAGAATTCAAGTATGGATAGCTGCCACTTTTGTCTACTAGGTCTCATCCCTTTTGGTTAGTATCAAGTCAAGGATAGCCATTCTTCTTGTTCCTGCCTCCACTTTCTGTTGGAGGAAGTTATCAGCAACACAAGAGATGTTAGCAATCTCTTGGAAGTGCCCTGTTCGGAAGAAAATGTCTCCCAACAGGTATCAGGGAAATTGAAGTCCCCCATAATGACAACATCATGCCTCCTTGAAAAACACTGGCAATGTGCTTTCAGCCTCGTCTTCTCCTTGACTGGGTGGTCAGTAATACACTCTAACCACCGTGCTTCTTTTGCTCCTTTCTCCATTTATATTAACCCATATGCTCTTGATGGGGTTACTAAGCTCATCCTCCTGTACTTCTGTGCAGAAATATGTACCTTTAGCATATAATGCAACTCCGCCTCCCTTTCTGTTCCTTCTGTTCTTGAACAGGCTATATTCCTCAGTTGTTGAATTCCCGTCACAGAAGTCATCCCACCAAGTTTCAGTTACATCCATCAGGTTGTATTCACCCTCCTGTATTAAGAGTTCATGTTTCCCATGCTCTGCACATTAGTATATAGATATTGAAGACCATGTGCTTTATACTCTAGCTTCCCTCCTACATTTTTGGAAGACTATAATTGTGCACTGTTGGAGCTTCTTTCTCTGTTGCAGTGCAGAAGTCTTTGTTGTCATGCCCAGGTGTGCTTCTCCCTCCACTTAGCATTCAATGTAAAGCCCTCCTGGTAAACTTCTTCATGCTGTGGCCAAACACATTATTTCCAGTCCTTGTAAGGCACAACCCATCCCTTGCCAGCAATCCATCTTCCAGGAAGTATAGACTGTGATCCCAGGATGCAAATCTCTCACGTCCACACAACTTTCATAGCAAGGCATTTGCTTGGAGTATTTTTCTTTCCTGGTCTATTCCTCTTTCAAAAACTGGAAGTATTGGAGAGAAAACTATTTGGGCCCCAAGGTTCTTGACTTTTCTCCCTAAAGCTTTGAAGTCTGACATGATGTCTTCAAAATTCAGCTTGGCAATGTCATTTGTTCCCACATATATAAGGAAGGGATACGTGAGCCTTGGGAATTTTACAGTTATATCTCTAATCTGTCCTCCAGGAAGACAGTAGACCTAATGAGTCCACAGGTCATCCTGACAGACATGTGCTTCCATCCCATGCAAAAGGGAGTCTCCCACAGCTAACACTCTTCTTGTTCTTGCAAGCCTTGGTATCATTGCCACTATTTGGCTGACCTTTGGCCTCTTGTTCAATGTTGAATGGGATGGCTTGCAGTTCTTCTACAGCAGGCTGCCCTCCAGTCTCATCCTCAAGTAACTGAAAGTGGTTCAAGAGTTCCACTGCTTCTGCCAGTGTAAAGTGCCTTCTAGTTCTTCTGCACCTGTCACTCTTTTCCAGGGAGTTTCCTCTTCATTTTCCCATCCCATAGGATTCTCTTCTGCCTCAGCTCGCTGTTGCACTTCTAGCCTGTGTAATACTCTTAGTGGTTACAGCTCCACCACTGTCAAAAAACTCAGCTTCTTTCATTACTTTGAGGGTGGACAATCACTGCTCTGGTGCTCTTATCTTTTCTTCTAACAGGGCTACTAGCTTGCACTTGTTGCATGTGTAGATCATGTTGACCTCAGGTAGGAGAACAAGCTTGGCTCTTATCCAATAAATTTTACCTGTAAAATGATTGTTAAAAGTGTCACAGTGAGCAACTGATGGTGCTAAAGATAGGTTAGGAGACAATGAAGCTTGAGACAAATCTCTTACCACCTTAAACAGCTCTGCTGGACATGAATTTGCAGAAACCGTATGAGCAGAGAAGAAACCCTTCTTCACTGCTTGAATGACCACCACACAGGAGCAAATGTTTCATCAGAGATGAGACTAGATTTCCACCATTGGCACTATAACCCAAGCCAGACTGAATAGATCAATAAGGAAGAAAACATCAAGTGAAGAAACCATGTGTTTGTTCAACACAGAGCAAAGTTGTATGAAAAAAGGAAGAAGAAAGTAATGTGTTTAAAGGTAAAGAAAATGTTAGTAAACCAACAAAAAAATAAAGTAAATGCTAAGTATGAAAGGAGATTAAAAATATTATGCTTGTTTTTACACTGTTCTCCTTGTAGGGTGTTAAAGAAATCAGATTAGGGTAAGAAAACTTGTAAAAGGCAGGAAGAATGAAATAACTGGATCATCCTGATACGCTAAGTTAGAGTGCAAGGAGGCATAGGACATTACGGTTTTAGTATTCCACTTATTGGGTAGCCAAGTATTAATTGTTCCAAGATGCTATCGCCATAATATGTAAATTTGGAAAGCCTGCTTTTTTAAATTACATTTACATGTATTCCAGAGTGACAGGAAATCAGAGAACAGGCCATCTGCCTGCACAAGACTAGAAATTGTATTGCATGTGTTTCATGCAAATTAAATGGAATGGTGTCTCTATTAAAACAACAAACAATCAAAATCCCCAGCTGGATTACAGATTACTGGAATGTCACAGACTTTCAAAAATGCTTATTTTTACTTTAGGCAAAGCAAGTAAATATAGTTACGAAATACAAATTGCACAGATAGTTTGGTTATTTTCCTCAAGGTCCTCCTTTGCACAAATTATTGGCAATTCTGCCCCTTGAAAGATGAGTCTGTAAACAGATGCTTGTGAGAAAAAGCTCATGTGCTGTTTATTTATAAAGAATTCTTACTATACTACACAGATTTAACAAAAAATCCAAAGTACTAAGTAGGTGTTTTAGAAAGTTTCCATTACTAAAAAAAGGGTTACATATTATTTTTAACCATATACCTGACCAACCACTGTAGCCGGGGTCGTATTATATAATAATTATGAGAAAGGTTGCTGTGAACAGATGCATGCATAACTCTTAAGCGGCTCCATAACACTTTCCCCCTTTAGAAGCGGATGCTCAACGTATCACCTGTGAGTTTAATTAGGGTAGGCTCTTATTTAGAAACATACATAACTTATGTATGAGACAGTTATATGCCACTTCAAGTTGGACAAAGTAAGGAACTTTAAATATACAATGGGTTAGTGTTTCAGTAGAACATACTCCTTGCCAAGTCAGGGTAAATAATAAGTTACTGACATTCAGATTAAGAATGTGTGATTTAGCTAGTAAAAAGCAACTTTGCAAGATCTGTTGCAGTGATCTTCAGACACTTTTCAAATCCAGAGTTTACTCCATTTTCATCTTCAAGTTCTGTGGCAGACTAATGAATGCTACTGTTCCAAAGCCCCTTTTAACCCATTCTGAAATTCACTGGTATCCAAAAGACTTAAGAAGGAATTCGGGTTGCTGCTTCCTCTTCAGCATCAGCTCTGTTTGCATTAATTTCTGCTAATGTCCGACCGAACCGTGTCCATTCATCATTTCGGGGAACAGCAATTTGCTGTGGAAGAAACAGTTACACAAAGGCATTAATACACACGCATGCATGCACGCACAGCTTTGTACTCCTTGTCTTGGACCCAAAGAGCTATGAACAGAAGGCAAATGTGCAATAGTGTGGCATCTATATGCAAGATTGTGAGTTCTATTACAGCAGTGGTTTCAAACCTCAGGCTGAGGCTCCCAGTCGGATGGCCCTTGCCCTGTCCCCACCCACTGGCCCCCAACTTTCCCTTCGTTCACAAGGATTTTTCCTCCTTGCAGAGGCTGAAATGCCTCTCCTAAGGCTTAGATACTGGAAGTAAAGGATTCAGAGAAAAGTAAGCGGGTATTTTGGTTTTAACCCACTGCTGGAATGCCATCTCCACAGCTTCTCCGAACTTGAACTCAGCCCTTGGGCTGAAAGAAGTTAGATATTCCCCCTTCATTACAGTGTAAGTAATTATGGTGGAAAGAGAGATATAGGTCATAAACAGTTCTTAACATATTGTGTAAATGGAAGAACTCCAGCTTTGGAATCACATTTCTTAACTTCTGTCAGTTCAGAACAAATTTTCTACTAACAAAAGGCCACTTTTGGATCAGCCATGTCTCTATCACAAGTTGTGAACCTGGATGCAGGATACTTTCATTCAAAATCACCATGAACATCAGTAATATGCTCTGAATTCTTTCAGTGGTAAAAATCATTTTCAACAGCAGAGGGGAAAACTCCAGAACCAAAAGAATATTGTCTCAGAAAATACTAACAAGGAACACCAACTACAGGGGATTGTTTAAAAGATACAGGTTGTCCAAAATTTGATCACACTTCTACCAGAGGTAGAGTTTATGTAATTTTTGTTGCGCAATAACTGAAACACACAGTGGTAGCAGATCTTGTTAAGAATGTGGTTTTAAAACTGAATAGAATATGGACAATGGCTTGTTCTATTTTCAATACCTGGAAAACAATGGATACGGGCTTTGGCCACTTTTACCTTGGCATCTTCTTTTCCAGGATTAGTGGCAGGTGGACCTGCCCCTTGAGCCAAGTCTGGCCAAATGATTACTGCTCTCTAGCTCTTATAAACTGCCCAGCCCCAGAAGGAAAAGGGGAGCGGGGATGACCAAAACTCTGTCAGTGGGGCTTGGTGGAAGTGCCCACCAGCAGCAAAATTAAAGGCCAACCAGGGTCCTTGAAAAAGGCAAAAATGGGGTATACATAAATAAAACCACATCCACTTCAGTAACATTTATTTGACTATTAGAATGCTAATTGTGCTGTAGATAATTGACATTTTAGTACCACTGAGCAAAGTCAAAATTTTAAAACCATACTCTCTAAAATGAGAGAATTAATACCTGATTCCAGTAAGTGCATGTTATCATTTGAATTCAAATATTTTGCAGAGGAACTCTATTGAGTTGCTGCTCACTAAACAGAGTCCTCCGATCTTGGAGGCTTCCAAGATTCTTCTACCCTGCCAAGCTACCCTCCTTTTAGAACTTCTTGCACTAGACAGGAGTCTAAGCCTGTCCACCGGGGCCAGGCTGATAGGAGAAGGGAGGAGGGGTGGGCTCTCTTCAGAAGAGCAATCCCTGTGCAGCTTTCTGTAGTGGCTGAGAATGGGGTGGCAGTGAAGATGTGAACCAAGATCTGCAGTTCCAAGGATACAACTCCATGGCCTCAAAGGTGAAAATCCTCACTATCCTGTAACCCTAACCCCTCAAACCTTATTAAGGGGCCTTGGGGTCTGTACCCTCAGAGAAATTTCCATTTTGTTAAAGCTTGAAGAAAATTACTTACCTCGCCAACATCATAAATTACTATCTGTCCTTCTGAATCTCCAACTGCAATTTCTCGTCCAGAATTTGTCCATCTAACACGATTAAGGGCAGGATTACCTTCCACAGTAATGCTTGCTGTTGGCACCTATACCAGTTTTAAAACAAATGTTTTTAATAATTACAACTTGATCAGGATTTACACCATCTTCAGAACTTTACTAATTTAATCACAAATATTAAGACAGTAACATGGGCATTACATTTTACCAACTATTCTTTGCTTAACACAAAAGGTGTGGGAAAGTACTCTGCCTTTGAAAAACTGAAATGCCTGTGATGCACTCACACAACACCCAATACACGTGGAATGTTGGTAATGACAGGCATTAGCCAAACCTTCAAAGATAGCCCTAAGTTACTGTGTTCTTCCTTGTCTAAAATCTTGCCCAAGTATGTTCAACCTGAAGTACATTATACTTCAGTATACATGTATTATATATACATAATATACAACCCAAACAAACATGTCATAATTACAGTGAGAGAAAGGCTGTTTTTCTGCATGCAAGTAATACACTTAACTACGATGTGGTACTTTAACACATTCACTGCTAGTGCCATCCTTGGATTTTGTGCAGTGCCAAGCACAGTGCTGGTGCTACTAGCAAGTCGACGTGCAGATGCATGAAGTGGTACTAAAAGTGTCTCGCTATGTGCCGAGGGTATAAGCAGTGTGTGTTTGTGAAGTATGAGGAAACTGCCCTCAATTCAGAAGGCAGATACCTGGGAGAAGAATCAATGCAAGAAGCCAACACCAGAGCCAGTCAGGGTACAGAAAGCAAGGAATATGGATTCAAGGGCAAATGGTGTGTGCTGTCATTTCTTTTCTTGCCATTTAGAACGACCTCTGACTTCAATATAAGTTGATATAAGTTGACAAGCCAGCTGCTCTACAAGGTTGGGGCAACAAGAAACATCTTTGCTCCTCACTTTCTCAAAGAACTGGAATCAGACTTGTGGTCTTTTAGTAAATGCAGCACCTGTTTCTGAACGTACTTTGGAAAAAAGGAAGTTGAGCTACTTTTTTGTGTTTGGAGCATACAGTAAATCCTGCCTTACCTCAGTATCGTTGTTCAGATTCCACAGGTCAAGCCTCCCCATTCCATCCACACAAGCAAAGAGAGCAGGATGAGTGGGTGACCACATCACGTCATAAACGTAGTCTGAGTTGTCTTCAAATGAGTACAGAGGCTTGTTGTTCTGCAAGAAAAAACAAACACTACTGACACATTTCAGAATTCTCAAAACAAAAAGTCACAAGCTAACTAGAGAAAAATAAATATAATCCCTATCCACGTTTCCAGGTTTGACAGTATTTTTTCTTACTAGGGAGCTTCTTAGTAGCAAAGACGGGTCTTTCTCCAGCAAGGAATCCTAACAGCAAAGGGCAGCATCCAACGTCAGTGCTAGTCTAACTGAAGTCCCATTCATTCCATTCATTCATTCATTCATTCATTCATTCATTCATTTTTTGATTTATATCCTGCCTTTTTCCTACAAAGGGCTCAAGGCAGCTTACATCATTCTCCTCCTCCATCTGATCCCCACAACAACAACCCTGTGAGGTAGGTTGGGCTGAGAGTCAGTGACTGGCCCACAGTCACCCAGGTGGCTCCATGGCTGAGTGGGGACTAGAACCCAGATCGTCTGAGTCCCAGTCCCAGGCTCTTAACCACCACACCACACTGGCTCTACTCTAATGAATCTACTCTAAGGAGGCCTTACACTGGATGAAACCATGTTTTAAGCAAAATTTAAACCCTGCAATTTTAAAGGACTGTCCAATATGGAGAAAATCTTAGAAGTGCACACCTGAATGACTAAAAGTTGTAAGACAAATACAAAAATTACTCCTATAGGGTTTATCATGGAGAAGTGAGAGTACTGCCTATAAATGATTTTCAGCACGTTGACCCTCTATTAATTGTGATTTCAGCATTAAATAGCAGTGAATGCAGATTGGAAATCAAGTAAGTAGCAGGAAGGAGGAGACTGGATCCATATCTAAGCAAACTACCAGCTTTAAGAGATACGCATTCTCAAATACGACCTATAACTAAAATGTACTGACTGGGCGAGGTTGCATGACATGCCCATCTACCTTGCAAAGAGCCAACCCACCATGAATGGTTCATGAAATAACTCATGATACAACCCAAACAATACAGTGGAGTCTCTCACTGGTTTGTTGTCCAGTTTTTAAAATTTTGTCTGAGATCTGAACACGTTTTCTCATTTTTTAAAAATGGAATTTTCAGGAATCTCACAGGTTCTACGAACAAGTGATTTGTACAAACAATTTGACAGCAGTTGGACAGCAAACTGTCAAATGAAAAGTAAAACTACGACATGATCTTTGCTGGCAAAAGGGGACAGCATATAGATTACCCCCTTTCCAGTGAGATTTTATATTCTTGGGGCAGGTGGAATCTGACTAGTCTCAGTGTTCCTTTTCTGAGCCTCCAGGTGCTCGGAAAAGTGGAAAAGTTCACATTATCCCATTTAAGGGAGTATGGATTTTTGACAGTTTTCAAAACTCAGGTTTCCTTTTAAAATGAGATTTCTGAGACTGCTGATCAGGGTTTTTTTGACAGAGGCATATGTAGAATTCATGGCTCATGCAGCCCTGTCAAAAATGCTGATAAAATAACCTATTTATAGCCTTGCTTCCTCAATGGACAGTGCCTGTGTATGTTCACAATGACATGGCACTGATGAGGGAAGACTGTGCATTTCAGTCCTGAAAATCCAGGGGTTGAATAAAATGCACAAATTTTTGGTGGAAAGACTAATTAAAGTGGTTGATGAACCAGTGACAGCGACTTCAATGTGTGGCTCAGGCACTTTGAAGGGGCTGTCACTTCAGATATCATGAAAAACAATACCTCTGCCCCATAAAAAGGTAAAAGGGTAAGGAAGCCGCAGTGACTGCAAAAGGTGTGATGGCTGATTCGGGGGAGAATGAACCAGCCGCAAGGTGGTGCTTGGGCAGCTGCTGGAACAGGTCTCACTGCTGCGGGACTGGACGATTTTGACACCAGTGGCAAAGGGCTTGGGCTGCTCTTGCTGAGAAGCTTCCTCATGTCTCTTCTATACCCATAACGAGGTTGGTTGTCCGGGTTCAAGCAACACAGCAACCAACTGCAGGTACAACAATGTCCCATAGGGCTGGGTGACTTGCTGCTCACCCTGTGGGAAGCCGTCCAAGTTCAGATGTCATGTTAACCTGTTATGACTAGAGCCATGTCATGCAAACCCAGTCATTAGGAACTAACTGCTCGTGAAACTACAAGGTAGCATAATTTAGTATTTCTTTGCTTAGCACACTTCATATGACAAGAACAACTTTGCAACTTTTAGCACAGTATTTTATTAGAAAAATGCTTTGCCAAAATGCAAAAGAACGATGGAAAGTCTCCAGTGGTGGTTGTAGGAGACCGTGAGGATATCCATTTTCATTTAAACTGCCTCAACACTATATGAAAAGGATGAAGAACAAGAGGCTGAACACTTGTGATGTCTATCTGCTTCACACAGATGCAGCTTCACTGCTGTATTTCAATCATGTATTACCAGTACTGATGCTACAAACTTCTAATCAAACTTACTGCCCAGTAAAAATATTAATGTTGTTTCTTATTTACAGAAGATTCTTTTCTAAACAGCCCCAAAAATTCACTATATACTGTAAATGTCTATTGGGGAAGCAGTTACACATCTGAAGTCCAGATACCTTGGTTGTCCACAGCTTTACTGTCCAGTCAAAAGAAGAAGTGACAAAGAGATGGGAAAAGTCTACAGGTCCAACTGCTGCATGGCAATGGATACCCGTGATTGGTCCTTGGTGACCTTCAAACATCTCACTGATTCCAGCTTTGCTGTTTTAAATATATACATGCATGAAATGAACTTACTTTGAAAGAAAAATATTTATGCAGAAGTCTAGGTATATGTTTGTAAAATAAACAGGGCAAAGAATTTACTCACTTATTTGCTTTTTCAAACAAAATACACAAGAAGTCTTTGCCAAACTCCATGCACCATAGCTGTGGGTTTTAGCATTTTACAGAAAATTCATGTATTAAAATCAATAATGTACACATACATAGATGCCATTAGAGGAAAGAAATAATGCTTAGGGAATGTGATATTACTATTTCCTTAAGGCCAAAAGTAAACTCTGAGATTAGCTAAAATTAAGAAGCTATTGCCTTCTATGGGCATGGAGCTTTTGAAGATACACTGTTTCCAAGGCAATTTTCAGTCTCAAAACAGGGACAATGCTTCCCCAAATAGTACCAGTACTAACTAAATGGAAGATCCCCCAATTTCAGTTAGTTTTGACCCTAAAGTGCTATAAAAGCAAGGGTTGTATGTGATACAAGATCAGGGCATCAATTTCATTTAAGAAAGCAATTGATAAGGCCAGACAATTTCAAAACAGATTGAACAGCAGGAAACATACTGCCCAATTTAAGATTGGCGCGTGATGCTACTGTACAATTATCTACAAAAGTGAGAGTTGGAATGTGAAACTTCAATTCAAATGGCCAAAATGATGATTTATCTTCATCATCCATTTCAAAATTCAAAAGCCATTCCTACCCGGAAGAAAAGAAATGCTGAAGCCAGTAAGAGAGTTTTAGAAATTGAAGGAATAGTCTTAATAGTACATACATTTCCTTTCCAATTTCCCATATAGCTACTATCAATCAATTAGAGAGATACCATCAATCAGTTAGAGAGCAACCATCCCAAACGTGTGGTATTTTACAGAACAAGCAAAAAGGTGACTTCCTGCTTTTAAAATGCCACTGCAGTGTCTATTCACCTGCCATGACGACATGCTGTGTACACAGAGCCTTCCTCGCTTCCAACGACAAAGTTGTTGACATCTCCAACAGGGAAAGACATACAAGTGACAGCTACAGCCTTGGACTGCTTATGAACTAGCTCCATGCTGTCCTGTGGAAAAAGGTATCATACACACATACTTTTCTCCTGCTTGCCAGCAACTCTGTTTGCCAAGAATCAAGCAAGATTTCTGCTACTGACCCTTTCATTCTAAACTCTTGCTTTCTTGCCAAGTTTAATGCATTTGGTATAGTAAAATGCACTGACTGCATAGACAACATCAGTTTGAGTTCTCAAAACGTCCTACAGAACACAGAATCTAGACTTGCTCATCTGATTTTGACAGATGTCATCCATTCTTTCCATGAGGTTACCTCCCTCCATTTGGATTCTGCTCTTCCAACCAGTTCGAAATAGCACACATGGATTTTATCTTCAATACTCCCCTGCGTGATAGGTTAAGCTGAGATCGGGTGACTGGCCCAAACCACTCACTGAGATTCATGTCTGAAAAATGCATTCGATCTGAGCTGTTCCAACGCCAATTCCAATACTACCTGTTACACTGGGTTGACTCCCAGCATTCAGAAAAGGATTTCTGGGTATTTGGGATTTGGACACCAGAGGTTCTATGCTGCGGTAACATTCACCCCAGGAAAAGTTAGTAAAATCTACTGCACAATTAGTATTCTAATGGAATAGTCAAGCATTTATATGTTAAGCATAACAATAGCACTAATACTGTAATAAGCATGTGACATTTCACCTGTGGTTGCGAAAGCATATCTAGACTCCATGAACAGATCTTGCCATCAGTAGAGATGCTGATAAGGTTGTGGGCATTCTGTGTCCCCACCACATTCACACAGTACACAGGATGCTAAAACAAAAGCATACGAAGTAACAATGTTTCTCACTGCAATTCATAAAGTACTAAATCTAGTTCTGAAACCCCCACTCAAATTAAGGAGGGGAGACACAAGGTCAGTTCCCCCTACTATTATCCCAAAGGGAGCATTTGGTCCCCTGCAAGAATTTGGGATTTAGAATCAAGTCGCCTAACTTCTTGCAGTATCACAAACTTCATTCAGACTACCAAAAACAGAGCTGTGGGTAACACAGAGCACATGGAAGCCAGAAGGAAAACAAGTGGATTACTATGAACCCCGTAGACTGACTAAGCAATATGAAGTCAAAGATCCATTTTCAGAGCAGAAAAAGCAGACAGATAAAGGATGTGATTTCATCTATTACATCTGAACATATGTTTTGCAAGATAGCGTGCCATTTAAAAAATCAAAACAGAAATTCATTTCTTGCAGCATTCCAAGTATATATACTAGATTGTGAGTATATCCAACTCACACAATGAACTGCTGTGCTCCCAACAACTCCCCTGCAGAAGTGGGGTCCTAGCCTGCTACTTACACAAGGATTGAGAGCTTCCTAGAGCAGGCCTCAGGAGGAACAAAGCTTCTCAATCCTGAACTGGGACAGAAAAGCAGAGCTCTGATGTGCATGCTTTGCTCACCTGCCCAGCTTCAGGAACAGGCATTTTGGCTTGCTCCTGGTTCCTGTTTGAAACACTCAATCTCTGCTGCACAAATGGTGGGTCCTGCTGGTGCTTACTACTTACCCCAAGCACGCTTATCCTACATTAATGAATTAATTAGTGAAGCATAGTGAACTCCCTACCGTGTGAGCAGCAGCTGAAAGGGGAGTTCTCTGAACTGGTGTTCGTTTATTGCTGCGGTTATCCCACAGCACTATTTGTCCTGAATATGTGCCACCAACCACCAGATTTGGATGAAATTTTGCAAATGTAGCAGACATCACAGCTGACTGTAAGATAAAAAAAACAGAAGAGTACTATTTTCAATATAACTATCCACTAGAAGTGTTCTTTCCCAAATTACACTTAGGAGTGAACCAATTTAGGCAAATGCTTACATTACTTGAATTGTGACTAAAACTTTTTATGCTATATAGTGTTACAATGCCACATGCATTCTAACAGAGTTCCATGACATTTCAGAATTAAGACATTTTGCAAAACAAACAACAGAAAACTAGTTTTACTTCCCACTAATCCATTCTACACTTGGATCTTGCTTGTGTTAAAACATGTGCTTCAACTCATCCTGCTTCAGGTCCTCAGGGGATGCCTGCATTTTTACTGAGAGGTCCAAGGACTGGTTGCATATTTTAAAATTCTATCTCCTAGAAAACCTTGACATACACAAAACTTCATTTAAAAACAATTGGAATAAGACATTTAGGATTATGATATGCTTAAATAATATAGAAAAGCCGCAATAGATAAATCTTTAAGGAAGATTAATGGTTCCTCAGATGTCAACATGTGTTTGCAAGCATATGCAGTTTAAAGTTCATGCCTGCCCAGTGAAATCATTATGTTGACAAGCAGAAGAAGGTTCATGTCTACATTCATCAACATGAAAGCCTTAGCCTGGCAAGACAGGAACTCACATCATACCTGGCAGTGAAACACATACTCTGGAGTTGTTTTTTTGTATTTCATATTCCACACAAGGGCCACCCCATCAGGCTCGTGAGGGGCATCTTCATTGTTGTTATAGGAAGCAACTAGTAACTCTGGGTACTGGAGAGAAAGATAAATTGAATTGGAAAGCTTAGACTACTTACAGGTTGCCTCAAATACAAAGCACTCAAATTAAAATTAAGTTAAGAAAGACAGTATTAATTTTAGGGAATATGAGGCAACTAAAACTAGAAGATTTTGCTTGATACTCTGAAGTTCATATACAAACTGCAGTTTGCTATATGAACAATTCATATTGCTCTAGGTTAGGACTTCTTTATGATGTTTTCTGCATGTTGTTCTTGCTTTTCTACACATAAATTTAGGTGCTGTGTTTTCAATATATACAACTACAATGCATTTCAGCAAGTAAATAAGAAGAGTGTCTGTTGAAGGGCTTCTGTCACAGAGGTTTTAAATGAGTGCTGTTACCTGTGATGACCAGTCCAAACAACTAACAACACGATGTTTTGACCAGCGCTCGTCAAAAAACTGTCTATTCAAGGACAGCTTAGCACCTGCCTGAATTTCTCTGCAAGAGCAATTGAAAGAGGGTTAACTTGCGCTCACTTCCAGCAAAGTTAATACAAACATAGGGACACAGTTTAAGAGACTCCCATATTACCCTTCTTTGTCTTCTAAGTCTCGTCCACTGTAGTCAAAGAAAATGTTAATTTGCTCAGACAGAGCCCTTTCTACAATCCTAGTAGAATGGTCAAAGAAGCTCAAAAATTCTTCAGAATGCAAAATTTGTTGCTTTTCTTCTTCTGTCAGTTCATGGGGGGCAACTGGGAGTAAAAGAGATGTGGAGTTTTACTATTAACTGACAGATTATAAAGACTGGATTTATTTAATAATTGGAATCATTTTAAAGTCTTTGATTTTAGACAGTGGTTACAGTTGTGCAAGTTTATAAACACTTTATTATTTTATGCAATGCATTTTATTATTTAAACCTTGTTTATAACTCTGTATGTTTTAAAAGAAGACATGCAAATTGAGATCTTAACAACAAGATCAGGACTTAATCTGCATGGTGTTTTCGTACCTTCCTCCTCCTCTTCTTTTTTCAAGACTTTTTCTTCCTCAGGTTCAACTGGTGGTTTTTGTACCACTACCTCATCCTCATCTTCCTCATCTGAAAAGAGGAAGATGGTCAATACAATTCTGACCTTTTTGCAACAATACATCAGACAGTACATATTAAAATAGGCTTAAGATTTTAAGACACAGAGCTAAGTAGATCTTTGTATGTATTTATTTTACCTACAGCAGCACTCCTGGTATAATGCAAGAGCTGGCAGGGATTCCTTCACTGAACAGAGTGACAGTAAGCCAAATATATCACAATTTTCACAACATACTCCCACATGTAAGCCCATGTAAGGCTTCCATTTTAAATTCCTAACCTCTATCCAGCAATTCCTAACCTCTACCCAGCATGTTCCAAATGGAACATGTATGTTTTACATCACATGCCGACATATTAATGCTGGTGGATGAAGAAAATCAAGTGTCTTTAAATAGCCCACAGAGCTGCTGCTTCCTTGTGATACTGGACCATCAGTATCTAACGGTTTTTCATACAAAAGTAGCTTACATTAGTTTTCAGGATGTTAATCAGAGAGGCAAATTTTGCTAAAGATAATAGCAGAGAAAGATTACGTTTTCTTTTCTGTCATACTAAATACAAACCTCATTATTATCATGTTTGCCAATGAGCATTTTAGCAGTAGACTGTGTTTTGCTTTATTGCAGCAATCAATGTGAAATGCTGATATTCTACAGTATTTTTTGGCTTACAACATTTTTGACTTTGAATAGTACAACTCCCCAAACACTTTCAAAATGACCTAGCATTATGGAATATGCATGGCCTCTTTTCATTTTCTGCTTCCTCGAGTAAGCTTCTCAAAAGACTATTTCATATTGGTTAACCAGCTATGTCATCTGTCCATGAGAGAACGGCAGCAGGAGCCTGATGCCTCACAAGTAATGAGATGGGACTGAACGGGGACTTGTTTGTTACAGCCATCTCTCTGACCCATGCTCAAAGTCACCGATGGGAAAAAAAACGTAAGAGTGGTCAAGAGATGGGAACCAGCTGCCAAGCCATGGTCCCAGCAGCCAAGCCAGCTGACTAGACAGCAGCAACCAGATGGTACTGCTGGGAATGTCTTTCTGCGCTCTGAGGTGGCAATGGGATGGCACAGCGTTTTTCTGCCTGACTGCTTCCAATCATGTTTTTCCTCCAATGGCAAGCCTGTGCAATTACTTGCTCTCCAGGAGGTCTACAGACAAGCCTTTACCCTGCAAACAAAAATACAGCTTGCAGGCCCTACCAGCTGCCAAACCACACACATAGTGATAGGTTGAAGCAAAATCTGGGAAAAAACCTTTCTAACTCTAGTTTAGTCAATAAAAATATATATATCTGTACCTGGAGGAACAAATGCTTTAAATGACACTATATAACGCACACAATAATACAAACTCCAACTTAATCAAAATGATAATGACGTATGCCAATCCCACATTATATGAAATTGAGCGATTTTTACGTTCTGACAAGTTTACAGAACTAGGATAAATGGCATGAATGATTTCAATATATGCTCATACTTCTGAACCAAATGGTGAAGGTTAAAATCTTTCCTTTCAAGGGCCTCAATCAGCCACAAAGGAAAACAGTAATCACTGTCTTTTCAGCCAGCCCAACCGCATTTGTCAGCCCTTTCTCCGTCAATGCAGCCAGAGCAATCAACCTGCCAAACATTCAGAATGGAAAAACAATCTGAAAATACAGGGTATAATGCACCTGCCAGTGAAAATGGCCATTTCAAGAAAAGCTAGTGATCTCAGTGACCCTGCTGAGGAGGCGGTGGTGCAAAGGGGAAAGAACGCGTAAAAGAATTCTTAGTGATCTCCACTCTCTTGCACATTGACATTTCCTTACAAAGCATGCCAATTACAGCTTTTGTGCTACTTAAAAAAATGAAAGCTTTTTTGGGCAAAATAATCACACAGAGAAACAGAAAGACACTGCTCCTTTTTAGATGAATTTGTACATACAATGGACTATTAATCAGAAAACTGGATAACAGAGTGATTCTATGCCGTGTGCCCCAAACAAGAGACTGGATTTCCCCCCAAGCACTGGGGTAGGGAAAATTGATAAATGCTTAATTTTCATTTAATAGATGAGACATTGTGAATAGCCAATTACAAGGCAATGACTAGATTAAAGAATTTAGCTGAATTAAGTGTGGACTTCTTTGTAAGCAGACGTGCTGGAGCAAACAATGCTACAGAGACTTCAAAGCATGGATTCCCTCACCCTTTCTAAGTTTTTTCAAGCTCAGATGCCATAAAATTAAATTCCAGCCTCCCAGCTCTGCCACACCACTCTGATTCTAAGTACCATTTTCAGTGACAGAAGTCAAATCCTTGTCAAAGGCAGATGGCCAGCCCTTTCGTGCCTAAGTGACCTCATCATTTACATACATTGCAGAGAAGATCTTCTAGCCAGTTGCCCCTCCCTTTTCACATTTCCAATGCAGATGGCACATATTATGCAAACAAGATCCAAATTCCATCTCATGTTATACTCCATATTTGCTGTCAGTCTCTAGGAATTACTATTACTGCAGTTGAGCACTAGATACGTTATAACAGCAATTACTTAAATATACATCAGATGCACTGGAGCAGTTTCTCATCTCTCTTTAAGACACCTTATTTTTAGATATATGTATATGCCACCATATAGATGACAGGGAACTTTAACCCTATTATGGTTACATCAGATCACTTAATAACATACTGGCAATACAATCCAAACAACTAAGTGAGGACCCAGGAGACAGTTATCCTAGGCTAATAAATGCAGTATCTTACCTTAGCCTAGTGTTTAGTTAGCCACACATCAAATGAAGTTAATTGGGAGTAGAAATATAAATTAATTTCAATGTGCCACATATATGCATCTTATTCTGGCAGTGACCAGTACTATGGCATTAAGACATGACTTTAATTTTTCCCTCTGTGGGTCCACATGGGTTGGCACCCAGCAACTCAATCTGCACCTCTGCCTTGGGAAGCACATCCTGTCTCTCTCCTAACCTACACTCCGCCTTGGAGGTAGCTGGAAGCAGCCGCTGCTGCTTTCTAAGCATCTCTGAAGCTCAACATGATGTCAGAGACAATCTTTTTGTCTACCTCCCACTAGACTAGAAGACTCACTTACTATAGGCACAATAGCAGCCACATTTTAAATCCCTAGCTCCCTCTTCTTTGCTGCTCATGTTCAGTTGATGGCCAAGCCAAGTTGCTTTGTCCTGTACATCATTTGTGAAAACATAAGCTTTCTTCAAATATGTTGTCCTCCTCAGACTCTTGCCATCTTAACTACTGCAATGTTCTCCGTCCCTGGGTTTTCAATGTACCACATCAACCCATTCGACTCTATCCAGGAATTCATTGTTAAAGTAATCAACTTCTTACATTATTCACACTTCATAGCAACCCTTCTTAAGTTCCTACACGGATTTCTGGTTGTCTCCAGCATTTAACACAAAACTCATCTTTTTTTACAAGAACTCCATGGCTTTACCACTATTGCTCTGCACTCGTGTCAGAATACATTCCCACCCAAAACTGCACTTTCCCAGATTCACAAACCTCAGACATTCAAATGTCATCAACTCCCTTAAGTAAGTGTTTTGGCTCTCGTTATGCCAATGTTCCAAAACAATTATGTCACTTCATATGTCATAATTCCTTCAACTCTCTCTTCAAAACACAATGCTTTTGTGAAACCTTTGGACCAACATTTAGCTCTCATGCCCTGTTGAAATTTAGTCTACATACATCTAACAGACCAGAACAAATGTTCATCCTAAAATTCTTGCTTCTATCTTCCTATGCTTTCACTCCCTATGTTGAATTTTAGAATGTAAGTTCTTCAACCATAGGAACCTGTATTTTTGTCTGTTACTCTGTAAAGCACAACACAGATTAATGGGGATTTAAACAAGCTTACAGCAAATAAGGGGCTACATTGCATTTTGTGGTTATTTCTAAAGCAATTCCTTAACCAATGGTACTTTCATTCCCCTTCAGCCCTCCCCTTTAAACTCCAAGGTGTCCTGTGATTTCACGTATCCTATGTTACAAATACAGTCATACAGTATTGGTAATCAAAATCAGATGTACAAATATAACTATATACTGCATGAGGATAAGAACAGCTGTATCATTTCGGAATATGTTCCAGACCATTTTTAGAAGAATGAACCTATTTAAAGCTTTAACCTCCAGAAAAGCTTCAGAAGCTCTGATTTTCATCCTCATCTTTTTCAAATGCTTTATTTTATACGTTTAAATCTAGCACTAAAAACTTTTAATAGCCACACAGAACATAACAATGAGAAGGGGAGCTGTATGTCAAATCATGTTATTGATGAATATTCATTACAATATGCTAAGTGGTTAACTGTATGTTTTTTCCTTGACAGAGGATCTAAGGTTATAAGGCAAGCATTAAAGAATGCATAAAAGTAGCAGTTACTTCTAAAATGCCAAATCCCTTGTCAATGAATGGTAAATTCAAGTTTAATGAACCAGTGAATTTTTACTTTGCGTTAACATCAAAATTGTGATGTATTTTGGCGAGATGGAAAGAAAAGCAGGGCTGTAAATTAGACAGCACCCAGCAATAACACTAGAGAGTGAAGTTCCAGTTGTCTGTGTAATCTGTTGCTACAGAGTAGGTTAATCAAAGTTAAATCATCTGTGAAATGGGTGGCTTTTGTTAAGCTGAAGGTGTCTTCAGATCACATTTACTATCTGTATTTCATTTTATATTTTAGGCAGGTACTGCCAAAAATGTTTCTTAAAAACAAAAGTGCTACAGGAAAGGTTGTGCTGTTCAAGATAGCATTTTTTATTACACAAGTATCTGGGGAATTCACATCTTGAATTCTGAAAACTAGAATGCAAAGCACTAACAATATGAAAACATTTTCTTAGTGCTGACTCTATCAGAAATCAGTTTTACTGACCAATATTTCTTTAATGCAGATGTGAGGAACTGTATGCTTTGTCTTTCTTTCCTAATTCTTCTAAAAGTCCTATATATCAAAGTGCTGACAGTGACACCTATCAGTAACATTGCAAGATGACAACCTCAGGCCTTCATTCAATACAGTCTGACTGTTACTGGTATCACTGAATAACTGGAAGGTAATATGAAGTCACTCTGAATTCCCCAAAGATACATATCAACATTCAAGCCTCCAGGGACTTTGTTAACCTGGATACTTTTCCTCTATGTACTTTTCCATTCAAAGAAAACAGCAGCAAGACTGGGATGAGATCAATACAGTGAATACAGCTATATTGTCTCTTAAGTTTGGTCCACACTATAATACAGCAGAACGTGGCACAGGCAGGCAAGGAAAACAAGTATTTGCACCACCTTATATTTTCTCATTGCTTTGGGATTGCTTGTTCACAATCTAAGATCATTGCATCTTATTTCAGACCACAAGACTGGAAATAATATACGCAAGCTTCTGTTAACACACACTACTCTGCCCAGAAATGTTATTTTTCTGCAGGAGCACTCTAAAAAGAATTAGATAGACAGACTGTGGTTAAGAACATAAGTATCGTCATACTGGGTTAGCCCAATACCCCATCTGCCCAATATTCTGTCTCCAACAGTGTCCAGAAATGGATGCTTGAGGATATCTGTGGAACAGAGCAATTATGGAGCTATTTCTCTCCAGTTGTTCATTTCTGGCATCCAACCGTCACAGACTTGGGAATGCTGAGCATGAGATGATCACTAATGAATCTATCTTCCATGACTTTCTAATCATTTTCAGATCCCAGAAAGAGACAACTCTACTCTTGTAGACAATTTCCCAAGTTCATCATGCACTGGGCATATAAAAAGTATTGTGCACCCTTATACATCAAACCTGCCTGCCACGGCTCCTGATGAAGTTCAGCATAGATAAAAGCCACACATGAGATACAGAACCAAGGATGGCCATACCTCTCTCAAATCAGAGAAAGGGACTTGGCTGGCATTGGGAGGAACAGCTTCTCCCAGCAGGAGCAAATCAGGGCTGGCAAGAAGGACACGAAGAGAGACTGTCAACACTGGGAAGAACATCTACTTTTCCCAGTGCTACTCAACTTGAGGCCAAGCCCTGCCCTCCTAAAGAAACTCAAGGAAGGTCTGTGGGCCACTTGCAGAGTTTCTGCAGCCTGGAGGTCCCATACCCCTGGCTCACTTCTTCTAAGTATACTTCTAAGTATAAAGTAGGAACAAAGGCTGCAAAGTGGTGGCAATGACAGGATAGTATGCAGGTTATAGTAGCCCTAAATATGAATATTTTGCTTTTAATATGCTAAAACTTATATGGGAGAAATTTATTCAAAGGTTGCATTATTCCTTCTACATGGCCAGTCTAAATATTCACTGAAATGTCTAAAAATATCTACAAATTGTGAACTTCCAATAGCAATACCAACAGCGACAAAAATGAGTAGTAAAATACTTCCACTGTTCAACATTTCATACAGACACTTGCTCATCAGAGTGCCTCATTTTAAGGCTGGAATTCCAATCATACTTCCTATACACTTGTTTTTATTTTAAATGTTCCTGCTAGTTCTTCAAACTTAAAGACAAGGCATCAAATGTGTTAGTTTATGGTTTTATTAGTTTAAAAGCTGAATGTTCTATACTAACATATTTAAGCTAAGTTGAATCCAGCAGATGAACTGTTCCTCACATGATCACAGCTGCACAAAGTTTGAGCTAAAGTTATATGAACAGATAAGCAGAGCAACATCATTATTGCAGTATCTCCCATTGCCAAAAAGGAAAGCATTCATCATTTTAGCATGTGGCTTGCTTGGTGCTGATGCTGTAACAACTCAAAAAAAGCTGGAGTTATTTGCATATGTCTTCCTTGCACTGTAGTCATAATTAGTTCCATGGTTAACTCTATATTAAATAAGTTCTATGAAATCTTATTTTAGAAGGAAAGATTTAATAGGACTCTACCAAAACAGATAGTTATGGTACAGACTACCCAAGGAAGTAAGGCAGTGCTCCATCAGACCCCAACTTCAACTGCACAAATAGTAGTTTCTCATCTTGCAAACATCTAAGTGTCGCTAAGTCTTGCACTTGTTTCTCTTCGTACACCACATCTCCCCCTGATCATGCACGGTTTTCAAACAAAGGAACAACAGTAGCAAAATTAATATTCACCTTCCTTTGGTTGAGCCATAACTGGTGTCTGGGTCTCCTTTGTGTATGTGACCATTTCTCGAGGAGGAAAGTCAACCTGAGTTATTTTGGACATTGCAAGCTTAATGGGTCCACGTCTAAAGAAAATGAAAGAAAAAGTTTTAAGTTATCTGCTTAATAAAACCACAAGTTGTTTAGTTTATACAGAATGATAATGCACAAAATCAGAAAATCAAGTAATAAACTAAACACAGGTGACAATTACATCAGTGGGGAGGGAGGGAAGATATGAAAATGAGTAACAGTTAAGCCAAACTTAATCTGTTTCTTCTTACACTGCTCTTTCAATTGGCAGAAAGACTACTGGGATTTGAACAATTTGTAATCTTATATAAAAGCAATGTGCTGAATCCATAACTGCACAGAGCAGAATTTCACAAATTGGATGATGGGCAGAAGAGAGAAAAAGTTATTTTTGCTGATTCACTTTTCCCTATGCCCTCCAAAATTTGCTCTGAAGGGTTGGAAGACCCTATAGAACACTATGAGGTGACTGGGAGCTACAGGGAAAAGAAAAAATCAGTAAAACTCAGTAAAATGATACTGTTGGTCTTTATATTATAAACTGTTTAAAATGTATTATGAATTGCATTGTATTAACTTTTGTAGGAACTTGTTGTGAGCTCCCCAGAGAGCCTTATGGCTAATAGGGCCGCATACAAGTAAAATAAATAAATAAATATCCTGTCCGCTTTCTGGATCTTGGGTTGCTCTGTGACAAAAGGCACTTTCCTGTTTACAGAGAGTCAAGCTCTGGATCCAACCTAATGTACAGTGTAAGAATTATTTGGAAATACACCAAGACAATAATTCAACTAGAAAGACTTTTGTTACCACATTGAAATCAACCACTATGTGATAACTTTTGCAATCAACAATTGGCTGAATTGTCAAGGAATTATTTGATTTAAATGTATGCTGAATAATATTTTCCCCATTATTATCTGGATATATGGATTTTGGCCTCACTGCCAAAAATGAGATGAAGACTATACTTATCACCCAACAACCCTATCTTGTGTTTGGCAGGAATAATGGGCGTATGGAATTTTATATATGTACCTGGAATTTTTCCTGGCTGCTCAAAGGTAGACAAGCATTATCCCTCTATTACAGATATGTGGCCTTAGGCATGTCATTTATATCTAACCCCTTGACATGAATGTCACAAAGCAGTAAGTTACTTGGAAAATCTGAGAAGTATCTTTAGTAAGTTAGCAAATCAGAAGTGTTTAGAAAATTAGTTGTATTAATATGCTGAACACAAACTCAGAAGAATGCATGTATCAGAGTTGAGCACACATTTCTGTTCATTAATGTGCTGATTAGCATTCCCTAAGCAGACTCTTTTCTTATTTAATACATAGTTTTGGGTTTCGGTGTGGAAACTGCTGATCAACAAACTGACCACATATCACTATCACTTAACATGGCTATCACCTTAAATAATCACAGCTAACCCCTTTTTTGGCATGCTAATGTTATTATATCTTAAGTAGCAACTTATTTGGTTTATATAAAAGCAATCATTACATAAACAAGGAAGGGAAAAAAAATCTCTGCTATACCCCAGATCGGAATCAGAGTGGAGCTGTAGAACTGATGGATCAGTATCCCAATGCAGCGTCCTGATACAAAGGTTGAAGAACAACCATGCAGCATTAGCAAAAAAGGCCAGAGATCAGTGAAGCAAATGCATTCTATGAAATGTTAAAGCTATTGTTAAGTTACAATCATATCAAGGCTTCAGAAACAAAACAATGCCAGAGATGTCACTTCGTAAAAATCGAGTGGATATTCAGTGCTATACAAAATTTGCAATAAATATTCCTGTCAAAATGGGAACATAGAATTCAGAGTAATCAGTAGGGTTGTGAAATTTAGTCAATTAAATCAATCAATTAAAAACCTTTTCATGGGCTGGAAGTGCCATTCTTTAAAGAACTGTGCAGAAGGTTTTTAAAGGAAGTTTAAGTATTTTAATGCTAATACAAAAACTTACAAAGCTGTAGATAACAGGCCACCTTGGAAGACATCCCTACTTTCCCTTCAATACAGGAAGCAATGCCTATTTGAAGATGGCACCTAATGTAACTTATGCAGATTTAAAATATTAAAAGTTATATAATTAACAGATTCAAATTTCTTTAATTAGGTGACAGCCCCAGCATTCACTCTTTTCAAAGACAGAAGTTTTGAGGATTTGCAGGACACAGAACAGTCTCACAAAAGCAAGCACAGAAGAGTCTAACACACTGACTAATTAGTTACATGTATTTAGTAGTGTCATCTGTTCTAGTTTGTTAACATATAGTAATCTTGCCCCAAGCATTAAATATGTTCAGGAAATTGTCATATTGGTAAAGGAAATGAGTCAACACACAAACCTTTGGGTACAGAAAAAAGTGCTTTTCCACTGGGATTTACTACTGCTAGTGTTTCCAAGATGTGACATTACTATAATTATGGGTTAAGCACTGCCTTGGGCTTATGTCATTTAATTTAAAGCCAACTCAAGACAGTCCGTGTGGTACAAATAGCAAGCTGAACAGCCTGATTCTAAGTATGCTTACTCAGAAGTAGATCCTGCTGGATTTGACATCTACTTCCACATAAGTATGCTTAGAACAGCAGCTTTAAATTAACAAAAGATTTCACATAATAAATATGAAGTGCAACATACCAAAACAAAAGATTAGATTTAACAAAAGATTAGATCTAAAGTTAGATTAGACGTAATGTGTATACATAACATGTTATATTTTAGTTTTACATGTTACTGGCTAGGAAAACAAAGTGACACAAATTTAAACAAACCTCTTTCCAGAAATCCTAAGTAACTGTTTTTAAGTACTTGATCATAATTTGTAACATTTGAGGAAGCTGATAGAATCCTGCATAGATATTTTATTTTGAGCATGGAAAATTGTGAAGAATTCCTAGTATTTGCTTTATTTGAAAGAAGCAAAGGTTTATTCCTGAAACTTGTGAATTATTTGAAAGAGACTGTTGAATAATAAAAACTGGTCTACAGCTTGCTTTATGTTTACCATTCTAGTTATTACTACTTTTCATTTATTTTCTTCTGGTACAGGACAAACTATATTAAAACACTACAAAAATACAAATGCCAGTAACAGATATAATATTATCAAAATAGCAATGTCCAAACAAATTTTAAAAGCATATAATTTTTTATTAAAAGCCTGTCTGAATAAATAGTTCTTTAAAAATTGCCTAAAAGTAAAGGAAGCCTAACAAATCTTCCCAAGAAACACCTTCCACTGTTTTGGCACGATCACATGTTGTACTTCCGGTAAAAGTGGAGCAGGGCATCTGACGCCATCTCAAGGGCTGAAGCAGGTTCATATGGGAAAACATGGCTCCTGAGAAAACTTTTAAAACTTTCAGTAACCCAGGATCAGGCTAACACCAGGGGCTGGACAGGCAGACATGTTCAATCAAGCTTCCACGCATATGAAGGCAAACGATCTCTCTCTAGTTTGACTGGGAGCAAAGAGGCTCCAAGGAACAAAACTGCCACAGGTACACATCTGACTACTAGCACTGCATGCACTTCTTTCTCTGCTGTGAAACCTGAGCCAGGTCCCCTGTGTCCCCTGGAAAACCCCAATCCTTAATTAATCTCTTAAGATCCTTTGACTTTAAAAGCTCTAAACAGCCTGGTTCTTGGATATTTTAAGGAATACATTTCCCCATATGTGTTTTTTCAATATGATTCTCATAACTGGCTCCCTGCATGGTGGCCAGAAAAAGCCTCTCTGATACATAGACATATTAACTACTATACTTTCTGGTCAGGCCAACATCCCAACTACTACTACAACCAAGCTAAGATGGTTAACATGGGTTTATTGGGAGAATTCACTGACAGTCTGAAACATCTTGTCTGCATCCTTAAAGGAAATCAACTTAAATCGATCTAAGTGATTGTCAAAGGTAGAAAGATATAAACTGACACTGTAGCCAAGAGAACTTCCTGAACCAATTCTGCAGTCACCATGGCATTTACCAGAACTGGTAAAAACAACATTAGCCTGAAAAAGTCTTGCAAATAAGTCACAGTTGGCTACAGATGTTAAAATAGAGGCATTAATTACTAGGAAGCTGAATCAGTAACCCTGAATAACCCTGCAGCTATAACAGTGGCTACTGGCATTGACCCAAAGTAATATTTGACAACAGTTCTCCACCATCTACACCAGGGTGGGCAACTTGTCCTCCAGAT